GTTTTAGTAAATTAGTGTGTATGTAAGGTAAAAGTTCCTTATTCACGGTTTCCATATTCGCGTTTTCATTATTCGCAGGTCAAAAAAATGCAACCCAGTTCCTGTATTCGCGGCTAAAACTTCCATTATTCGCGGTTGCAATCGGTAAACAGAAAAGGATTCGGTGTCATTTATTAAGGGGTCTGACCGTAATAGACCGCTCGTGCATAGTGTGAATTTTTCTGAAAACATGGTTTCTATTTTAAACATTGTGATTTAACAGTGCGAGATAAATACGTAATTTTTTGTATGTTAACAGACAAAGGTGCACACTAACTCGATACGTTTTTGGTTTTCAATAATATAGTCATTAAAGGCCTTTACAAATGCTTAAAGTTGATGCTTGTTGTAGGACGGGTATTTTCAATAGAAATAAAAAAATTTAAAAATGGCCTTCGACAGGCTTTAGAACAAAGCTTTATCTATCTTACTACAAAATTTCGAACCTCTGTTCCAAACATTAAAGTCATGACATCTAGAACCGATAAGCATGTTTTTACTCTACGGCGCGTGTACTACTGAATCCCCTTAATGTATCGGCATGTTTTGAGTATGTACAGTTGGTACTTACCGAGGCAGCTTTTATAAAAGATGTAACCGAGTGGACTAATTTCAAAATTCAAAACAAGAAAAAATCATTAAAATTTTATAAACTCTTGCCTAAAGGTGATTATAACGATTACTATTAATTGCGAATTTATCAATGCATTGATTTTATTTTGATACATATTGATTTTATTTTGGAACCTTCGTATCCATCCCTTATAATTCCATACTATTACCATTCCAAATCTACGGTTTCTGTATTCGCGGCATATTTATGAAACATATACCTCGCGAATAAAGAGCTTTTACTGTACAGGATTATTTAACGTATTATTCAGTACGGATACACTGGTCCTTCGAATGTTATATTTTGTGTGATCAATTATTGATCTGTGTGGTACAGCAGTACACCGACGCAAACAACCAAAAATTTACGTTAAGAGAGCCAAGCTCCCCAACACTCCGTGTAATTGCATGGAAAAAAGTGATTTAATAAAACAGAAGGGTACTGCTGAAACGCTGTTCCCCAAAAGTTGTGCGGCTTTTCTCAGTTAAATAACATATTCTCGATTTTCTTGGTACAGACTGTTTCCAAAGTCCATAATTTACAACAACTACGCCAGTACATTCCTTACATATTTCACGCTCAACTTGTCAATTCGAAAATCCTTAAGTTCGTTTACGAAGGATGGAACGGCAAGCGTTCCCTGGACTTCCCCGCAAAACCATTAAAGGAGATAAACTACCGTTGGAGTAAGTTATCTTTTGGTTGAAACAACTGACCCCTGATCTAGGGTACATTAAACAACTTTATCTGTGCTTCTCCAAACGCAGACGATGGAATGGTTTTTATGACCCAGTGCCTTGCAACGACCACGTTTCTACGTCAGACGTTTAGTGTTTGCGTCCGTGCTCTACCATTTCCGAATTCCTACGCCAATTTGCCGTATTTTATACTCAGATATGAATTATTGAAGAAGTTTAATTGAATTCCACTTGCTATCTGGTAACTAAGTGTAGTCACGTTTGGGATGACGTAAATTGTACGAACCAAAGGGTGAAAATAAACGAAATATTTTGATCTTACGATTAAAACCAAATGGATAATATAATTTTTTCCAGGATGGCAGTTAAATAATTACACAACTGTATGTTTCTTGTAACATTTCGGTTTATTCAACCAGCTTCAGACTTTTTTGAAGTATTACTACTGTAAGATGGTTAAATAAACCGAAACGTTACCAAAAACATATAGTTATAGCATGTAATTTTTTTTAATTTTTCATAGCACCATTTTCTAGAGTATTAAATTAAACTGTTGGATTAAGTATACAATTTCGAACATAATATGTAAAATGATGGTTTTAGTGGACTGTAAATGTACTTGTTTATAATTGTTTATGTTCGAAATTGCGAACGTTATAAAACTCTACCGAAAAAAGGGAGCGTTGTCTGATTTTTTTAAATCTTTTCCAAAAACCAAACTTTGGATTAAACAATTTTTTGGGGGAAGTATTTAAAAAAATAAAACAGTTTTTCCATTGTTTACATCATCAAAAGGTCATCAGTCCTAAGGCTGGTTGGACACGCACCTCCACTCTTTCCTATTCTGAGCTAATTTTCACTAATTATTTCCTTAAAACTAGAACAATCTACGTTCTTAACTATTTGGAACAGTAATCTAATCTAGGTCTACCTTCACCCCTCCTAACTCCCGTTTCTGCCTCTAATATGTCTCTGACTAGACCTTCATGCCTGACAAGGTATCCTAGCAACCCATCTCGTATATTTCTTATTGACTTCCATAGAGTCCTCTGCTCCTCTATTCTTTCTAATACATCTTCATTTCTAACCTTCTCTATCCTTGCTTCTAACCTTTTCTTTTCCGCCGCGCCCACCATCCATGTTTCGCACCCGTACAACGCCGCACTCCAAACATATACATTTAACAATCTTTTTCGAATTTCTAAATTTACCGTTCGTAAGCATAGAAGTGACTTCTCTTTATTTATCCCTACTACTCCTTCCGTCTTGACTTATCTGACTTCATACATACCGAAAATCATACACTTCCAATTTTTCGTCTCCTATCTTTATATTCGCTCTTTCCCTACTTTTTCTTCCCTTGCATACCAGTATTTTTGTTTTACTTTTATTTATTTTCATACAAAAAACTAAACACAAAAAATAATTAAAACAAGCTAACTATAAGTTAAAGTTCTTAAAATACAATGAAAATGGTGAATGTTACAGTTATTTGTATTGTTAATCTGAACCGAGTACAACATTTGAAAATGGCGGCTTGTGGCAAAATTGGAAAATTGAAATTTCGATTCCCTATGAAATATGTCGGAAGGGCGAATCCTAAAAACTATTAATTTTTTCCCTAGAAGCATATCTCCGTAAATTAAAAGCCAAAATGAGGTTGTAGTACCTACTTATATTTTAATGCAGTAGTTTGATGGAAGAAATTATAAACTTTCGAAATATGTAAAATGTTAAAGTAGTAGGACACAGAAGCCTCTCAGTTGGCAATGAATACGATGCGCCTAATACTCCTAGTTAAGAATTAATTAGATATATTACACAAAAGATGCACCAGATTATAAAACTATCGATATATACTTGAAAAATAAACCAACATTTTGTAACAGTTCATTAATATCATTAAGCATTAAGAAGTCTTTAGTCCTAATAAATAGTTATTTTTGGCATTTACTTATTTATTCATTTGTTGACTAACGAATGCTTAAATTCAACATCTATTACTTATATTATGTTTTACGGTTTAAACAATTACTTCACTAATTAAGCTGTTTAAGATTAAACCGTTGAAGATACCTACATGGCGCGCCAAATTATAATTTCCGCTGCTTTGACAAAACAGTTGATTGTTTACTAATTATTATGATATTGGCATTTAATGAACATAACAATACAGAATCATTTCAGACAAAATTATTAAAAATATCTATTTCTCTCCCCATACAGGGGGATCAGGTAGTCTTGATGAAAATTGATTACATATACGAATGCTGATGCTGTTTTAAATTTATTATTCATCCATGGACAACAAAATGGAATTATAAACAGAACATGCAGAACTTTTAATGACAAACACTCCAATTTACCGCCAGTGACTAGACAAAAATTAATAATAATTTTAAGGAACAGAAATGTGATTTATTTAAAATACTTGCATTTAAAAAGCAAATACAAAATAAAAAATACCTAATTTTATGTTGCATTTATATACACTTTTGAGAAAAGCATTTTGTATTTTATTTAAAATACAATTCCAAACGTATTTTTTTTTTAATGCAAAACACATTTTTGCCCTTAAAAGTTTTGCTAATATCACCGATCTAACATTATATAAAATGATGATGAAGGTATTAGAAGCTTAAAAACGGGACGACAAAGAGACATTCCATAAATGAGTTCTACTTCTTTTAATAAAGATAGCCCAAAAAATTCTAAACTCCTTGGAAATGGATAATCTAAAATATTGGATCGATATTGTTTTCCGAATTCAATGTCATAATGCACGGAATTTTGAAGTTCCAAATTGATATCAGCACCTGTCAAATCACCACTTATCGTACCTTTAGCAAACCTACGAAATTCTATGAAGTACGACAAAACAGCCCGCAAAACAATATTGAATTGATATACTTCAGCTGTGTAAAACTGAAAACTACAAGATATTGTGGTTTGATAATAAATGCGTATAATCCAAAATTATTAGAAAACAATTCGAAAAATTTCACTTATTAGATGAACCCGAAGTTAAAGAAACTTTAAAATGGTTTTTCTCATTAATGAAGCTACAATAATTATTCAAAAATGGCGGCTTACTGCCATTGTGTGTAGTCATACGTTGTACATACGTCGTGGATAGCCACCTTTACCTCTTGTTTGTTTTATCATTTTCTTAGCCCACATGTTTCATTTTTTGTTGAATAAAATGCTAATAAAAGTATAACGACTCTATATTTTTAAGATCGTGGAACACCAATAACGGTTCGTCGTAAAATTTCTTGGTTTGTTAAGTTTTTCACGTTTAATAAAGGTAAGTGCAATTTTATATTTTTTTGTTCCGTAAGTGTTAGATTAATGTAAAGTCGAGTGAAACTGCTTTCCTTTCGCTAGAGTGGAATTTTATTTTTGGATATATAAAAACAATAAATCAAGAAAACCGTTTTTTCAAAGCCCAAACCTCTTAAATTCCTGTTCTCAATGTTAGATAAAAGTCAACACAGTTAAGATTGGTTTTTCTTTCATTACTGTCGACGGTTGTACGGTTTTGATTGACACATTAATTGCATNATTTCCTCCTAACTTCTTAAATTTATTTAAAAACGAGTGCTGTTAAAATTTGTGCACTTTCCCTTCTAAACCAGGCCATTTGGTTACATCGCACCGCAGGCCAAAATCTTCAGTCCGGCTCTGACCAAGACTACATCAACAAAACCAAGACCAAGTATTAGCGCAAGACCAAGTCTAGAAGTATTTGAGCAAGAGTAAGACCGAATAAGCAAGACCAAGACTGCGACAGTCTCGGTGTTGGTCTTGTTTTGCTCGACAGTAAAAGGTAGGTTATGTTAAGTTCAGTCTCAAATCACTTCAAATCAGCTCCGACTTGACCAAGTCTATCTACTAAGAATTAAAAATGATGAATTTATATTTGTATCGATAACTAGCGATAATTATTAAAAATATCGTAAAAAAATCCTTTTATTTATTTATTAGGGGAGACCGAGGATGGTTGACTAGTTTTTTACTGAATAGTCTTTCTACGTATTGCTTTAAGTATTAGTTATTGAAATAAAAGGAATATTAAACCACAATAAAACAAACTTTTATCAGAGAAAGTAGCAGTTTCGTTTAGTAATGTAGTCATCCTAACTTATATTATAAATGCGATTATGAGTTTGTTTGTTTGCTACCATTTCACGACTTAACTAGGTACTCAACCGATCATCATCAAATTTTGTACACAACGCAACCGAAACTGCGGCTAAAACTTAGTCCTTAATAAAATACACTAATTTTGGTTATACATATACATTTTAAAAGCAACAGTAATGTGATGTTATTTTCAGGCAATCTATAATATTAATTTTTCCGTTGTCAACAGTAAATTATCTAATTAAGAGACTACCTACCCCTACCATGTCCCAGTCTTGCTATTAGTCTTGGTCTTACGTATTCGGTCTTGGTCTTACTCAAATACTTCTAATCCTTATCTTAGTTTTGCTGATATAGTGTTGGTGTTGGTATTGGTCTTGTGTATTAAGTCTTGATCATTTAATCTGATACTTACGTTTTTTTAAATAACTATTCTAAGCGCAAATTTTTCTATTTACTGACACAATAATTGTCCTTAAAGCTCGAATTTTCTCTCATACGAGGGTGGATTGATAAGTTTCCGGCCTGACCAAGAAAAACAAGGTTTTTAAAAATTTTTTTTTTTTATTTCTCAACATAATCTCCTCCAAGGCTGATACATTTCTCATAGCGGTGTTCCAGTCTATTAATGCCATCTCTATAGACTGATTCGTCAAGCTCCTCAAAATAACCATTTACAGCTTCGATTACTTCTTCATTGTCCGCAAATCTCTTACCGCCAAGCCATTTTTTGAGATTAGGGAACAGAAAATAGTCACTCGGGGCTAGGTCTGGAGAGTAAGGAGGGTGCGGCATCAATTCAAACTTTAGATCGTTGATTTTAGCCGTCGCAACGATTGACGTGTGCGCTGGTGCGTTATCGTGATGAAACAAGATTTTTTTCTTCGCCAGATGAGGTCGTTTAATTTTCACCTCGTGGCTCAAACGTTGCAATAAGTCTGCGTAGTATTGACCAGTGATAGTATTACCCTTTGCAAGGTAATCAATGTATATAATACCTCTTGCATCCCAAAAAACAGTAGCCATAACCTTGTTCGCCGAAAAAATTGTTTTTGCCTTCTTTGGAGTTGGTTCCCCTGGTCCAATCCACTGTTTAGACTGTTCTTTGGTTTCAGGAGTGTAGTGGTGGACCCACGTTTCGTCAACGGTTACGAATCGACGCAAAAATTCGCTTGGATTACGCTTATACAATGACAAATTTGCGGTAGAAATGTTTTTTCGAATCAATTTTTGGTCGACTGTTAGCAAACGCGGCACCCATCTTGCACAGAGCTTTTCCATATGCAAATGTTGGTGCAAAATATGTTGCACACGTTCATATGACATCTTACAGGTCTCAGCTATCTCACGCACTTTCAATCTGCGGTCTCCCAGCACTATTTGATGAATTTTTTCGATCATATCTGGAGTTGTGACCTCAACGGGGCGTCCTGAGCGAGGCCCATCAGAGGTGCTCACACGACCCTTTTTAAACTCGGAAACCCACTGCTTAACGGTTGAATATGACGGGGAGGATGTCCCCAGTGTTGAGTCCATCTCTTTTTTAATTTCCTTCGGCGTTAACCCCTTCAAATAAAAGTATTTGATGACAGCACGATTTTCCTGCTTTTCCATTTTTACGAAAACCACAGAGGCGTCTTGTTCAGCGTGCTGTCAAACCTACACTAGCAAGGAGATCGGGCTGAAACTATAGCTACAAGCTATCCAAGGATGGTACTATAGAATGTCACCTCAAGGTAGGCCTAGTGGCGTCATCTCTTGGTTAGGCCGGAAACTTATCAATCCACCCTCGTATATCAAAATATTACTTATGTGATTGAAATATGAAAAACATGTCAGTGTTCGAAAACAACGCACGACCGCGATGTAGCGCTTCAGACAACTGAGCGGGACGCGAAATGTAATTCTTGGCTATGATCAGATGACATAGTTCATACACTGTCGACGAGTTTTCGGTTGTTAGTCTACCTACCCCTATAGTCAACCATCCCCGGTCTCCCCTATCCCTAAAATGGAATGTCACCAAGTGAAAGCAAAACAATAACTATCCAAAAAAGCAATAGTCGAATTATAATATCTGTGATACACCCTGTATACTCTATAAATTTATTTATGTATATTTGACAAACTGCAGGATATTTTTCACCACTATCTAACAATTTCAATATTGCAGGTTTGTGAAAAACACGTCAAACTTATCAAGTTTAAAGGAAAACGTTAAATATTCAACAGACAACCGTTATCGTTAAACAGTAGGCGTTCTTACAAATCACTTATTAATAATGTAAAGATAATCGTACAGTACTAGCTCGAAATAGTTAAAACTTTTTCGATAGATAAGCCTCAAACGAAACGAAATAAATAAACAAGTGAGTTTTGAAACTCGGCCAGTAACGTCAAACTTACCCAAAAATGTCCTGGTGGGTTCTATTGTTTTATACCATTCTGGTGGTGTTCTATAAAAGCTGTCTTGGTGAAAATCTACCACCTTCCTGCGACAGTCAAATTTACTGCCAAGGAGAACTACTGGATACGGTCCAAAGGGCTCGAATTTTCAACGATTCAAAAACCTTCGTCGACCTGAAATTAAGATACGATAGTAAAACTGTTCTTAACAATTTCGAAAACTTGATGCAGTCAACAAACAGACATCCAACTACAAAGCAAATTAAAACGTTCGTGTCCGACAACTTCGAAGACGGGGATGAACTTAAACAATGGAATCCGCCAGACTACAAAGCAAATCCTCGGTTCCTCAACGACGTTAATGATGAGGTGATCAGAAATTTTGCGAAATACGTTGTACAAATATGGCCTACTTTGGCTAGGCGCATTCGTGACGAGGTCGAACAAAACATCGACAAGTACAGCATCATCCCCTTGCCAAAACCTTTTATAATTCCAGGAGGCCGCTTTAGAGAAACATACTATTGGGACACATATTGGATAATACAAGGACTACTAATTAGCGAAATGGCTGAAACGACCAAAGGCATGCTAGATAATTTTATCTACATGGTCAAAAATTACGGTTTTGTACCGAACGGCGGAAGAATATACTATTTGGCCAGATCTCAACCACCCCTTCTAACAAAAATGGCTTACAATTACGTCAAAAGTACACGGGATGTTTCTTGGTTGAGAAACAACATTAAATATTTGGACACTGAACTGTCCTACTGGCTGTGCAAAAAGAAGGCAGAAGTTATGAAAGGAGGTCAAAAATACGTCTTGGCTCACTACTACGCACCCAGTGAAGGCCCAAGGCCGGAGTCGTACCGTGAAGACATAGAAAGTGCCAATTACTTTCCAGATAAAGAACAAAAACAACAATTCTACACAAACATAAAAAGCGGTGCAGAAACTGGCTGGGACTTCTCCTCCCGTTGGATATTCGACCAAAATGGTGGTAACAACGCCAACCTATCATTTATAGATACCCCTAGGATAATACCTGTCGACTTGAACTCATTCCTATGTGAAGCCTTTGATCACCTTTCATCCCTCTACCTTCTTATCGGGGACCAAAGAAACAGTCACTTCTGGAAAGAAAAACACCTCCATTTTAGGAAGAGCATCCAACAAGTGCTCTGGGACGAAAAGGATGGCATATGGTACGATTACGACAACACACTTTCAAAACCAAGAAAATATTTCTACCCCAGTAACGTAAGTCCGTTATGGAACAACTGTATAGACCCAAACAGAAAATCGATTTTCGGGAAACGTGTATTAGAATATTTGCAAAGTACAGACGCGTTGAAGACTCCCGGTGGTATACCCACATCAGAAGAACAAAGCGGGGAACAATGGGACTTTCCAAACGCCTGGGCGCCATTACAAGCCATAGTGATTCAGGGTTTATACAACAGCGAGAATTTTGATGCACAAAATGCTGCTGAAGAATTAGCAAAAAAATGGATCTCTGCTAACATAAGGGGCTACAGGGAAACTGGAGAATTGTATGAAAAATATGACGCTTTACATTCTGGAAAATACGGGGGAGGAGGCGAATATGTCGTTCAAACCGGATTTGGATGGACCAATGGTTTTGCATTAGAATTAGTAAAACAGTTCTTTTCAAACAAAACTTCTCCAAATGCAAACGTACCATTTGCAAAATTTGCACGAGGTAGATTTTTCAAATAAGGGCCAATATTAATTAATTTAATTAANCAAACCTACACTAGCAAGGAGATCGGGCTGAAACTATAGCTACAAGCTATCCAAGGATGGTACTATAGAATGTCACCTCAAGGTAGGCCTAGTGGCGTCATCTCTTGGTTAGGCCGGAAACTTATCAATCCACCCTCGTACATGCTAGCTTGTCATGACTTTTAAAGAAAATAGAGTCGATAATTGTGAGAGTTATGAAAAGTGGAGAACTCATCCTTCCTCTAACGCATAAATTGACCTTTTAACGAATAAAATAGTACAAGATATTTGAAAGAAGTTAAAAATATCGAAAAAGAATTAGTTTGTCTCTATATCCAGACATAGGAACAAAGAACAGGACATTCTTGTAGATCCCTTGCTCCAAACACTGGTAAATTTTTTTTTTTTTTTTAGAACTAGTGTTAAAATCTAGTAAAGCAAACTGAAAATTTCAAATACTAAAAATATTTCGTCCCAAGAATATAAAGGGGAAAATGAAAATCGAAAATTTACCTAAATATTAGAGCAACATTTACTATTTATCCCACTAGCCCGTTAATAAATAATAATAATAATTACAATTTGGACCCGAATTTGTAAAAATAAAATCCCAGCAAAAATAAATTTTCTAGGTGTTTTAGTTGATTTAATAGGGTTTAATATCAAATATTAATGTGAAAATTCATTTTTAATTTTCAATCCCACTACAAACTACCTCAAGTTAATGAGGGAAAAATTTGTTGCTCTTGTCATACCTTTGCCGGGAATCGAAACCGGGACCTTTGGCTTTACGCGCCAATGCTCTGGAAAAGCTAAAATTTTTATTACAACGCAAAAATTACAATTTTCGATTGTAAGTGCCGGTGCACACTTGCGACAGTTTGCCGCCGCGGGTCCGCAGCGGCACCGCAAAGTTTGCTGTACACTTGTTGGTATTTTTGCGGTTTTGTTGCGGCGCCGCAAAAGTAATAAAAATATATATCTAATACAGTGTCATTCGTTTTTAAAGAAAATCAGTCAGTGCGCAAGTTGAATAGTGCAAAATGGAAGTTTTTATTAATGAAAGGCGTGCAGTTTTTACGTATTTGGTGTACAAATGCGTTATTGATCGAAAAAAAAACGAGACGATTTTGGGTAGACCCATATACCGATTTACGGATTACGAGGGGCACATTTGTAACGTCGTTTTCGTATTTAAGGGAGAATCCTGGCTAATTTTTCAACTACTTTCGAAGGAGTGTTGCTTCATCTGATGAATTAACAGCAAAAGTTTCTGATAGGATAAGATCGCAAAAGATACCAGATTAAGAGTCTCCATAATCCCACTAGAAATGTTTTTTTCTTGTCATTCAGCTCCAAAAATCCATCGGAAAACATTTCACAGATTATAATCCATGCAGACCTGTTTTTGACTCTTTCATGGTATAGGTATATTACTGAGGAAATATCCCATACCTCTGGGAACCAACCCCTTTACTGCATCAATGAATAATTCTATATCCAAATCTTCAGAAGTTCTAATAGCAGCCATCCTTTTTTGCGTCAATTTGCCGCAAGTGTGTACCAGCCGATATACAAACGAGTACTACAAAACCGCAATAGCGGCAGCGGTGCCGCCACGGTTCCGTAGGGACCTGCGGTTCAAAACGGTCGCCATTTGGACGCGCGGCCCCGCGGCAGCGCGCAGATGAATGTGCATTAACCCATTTACCTGTTAGTACTTTAAGCCGCAATTGCGGTGCCGCAGCGGCGATTGCCGCAAGTGTGCACCGGCGCTAAATGACTAATTTTGCCGTAGAAATAGTAGAATTTATTAGATAACTTGCAATAATTTCAATTTTGACAAGTTTTTTAAAAATGACTTTAAGTTTCTTAATTATTACAATTTAATTTGTAATATCAACTAAAATTCCTAGTAAATTTTTTTGTGCTGAGATTTCCATTTTTATTATTTTCTCTTAAGAAGCAAGCGAGATAAATTGTAAATATCGCTTTAATAATTAGGTAAATTTTCCTTTTTCATTTTCTCCGTGTAGGTAGGTATTAAAGTTTCTTCAAACAGTTTAACTCATAAATCCACCGGAAGTAATAATTTTTCGTTTAGTCTTGCGTATTTGGTCTTGGTTTTACATATTCCGTCTTGGTTTTAGTTTTGGTCTTGTTCGTTCGGTCTTGGTCTTGTTCTTGGTTTTGCTAGTATAAAGACAGTTTTGCAGTCTTGATCTTGATCTTGCATTTACATAAAATCAAGACTAATTTTGCTCATTACTACTTAAGATGTTTTTATTGTCTTCTACCTGACCACAAACGGGCCGAATTTACAATTTAATTTTGAGAACTATGAAACTTTTCCGGCCGAATTTTCGACTACAATTAGCAAAAACCCATTAAATTTACAATCTCCGTTACTAACATATAGCGTTACAAACAAATATAAAAAAATTAAAGCATAAGTAAATATCAACAAGAGGAAACACCAATTAACGATAGTTCTTTGCTGAATCCTACTGAATTAGATATTTGTTTCCTATCAGCAAAAATTGCTCTTCCTGTCAATTCCTACACGTAAATGATTGTTGTATGTACGTTAATTTTTCTAATGTTTATTCTTTTTTATGAGATGTAATTTTGGCCTCAAATATTTTAATACAACACTTCAAATAAAATAATATACATCTCGTTTATTTATTTCCCAGGGAAGAAAAGTAACGTAAAAGTTAAGAAAATAAATTTTCTTATTTTAATCTTGTTAGCATTGAGTTGAGCAGTTTGAGTACTGAATTTCATACATTTTCATATTCATGTAAGTAAACAAAAAAAAAAGAATGCGACAGCAAAATATACAAATGCATGTTTTAATAATTTTCAGCAAAACAAACATATAATTTATGTAGATTTGCTAACAACAAAAATATAGCGACATATTATACAGAGTGATGGTTCTAAACAAAGTAAAGAATTACTGTTTCCATTTACAGTGACAATAAATTTTATACCAATCAACAGCTAAAACCTTTTCACTGTTAACACTGAAAAAAAAGCATTTAAGGGATTTGAAATTTACGTCTTGTTTTCTACTTTTATGCCACATTCAAATAGTGATTTAAATCAGGAAACGTGAAGACCCCACTGGGATTGAGGTAATGATTAGGGGGATGGGGAAAAACACAATACAAGTATTTTTAGTTGGAGGTGGACAAATATCAATTATACAAAATGTTAAATAATATTTTAGTATGGATTTATTGTAAAACTCAATAAGTTGAATTGGATTATCATAAATCGTCAATCCTAAGACTGGTCGGACACGCGGCTCCACTCCTTTATATCCTGAGCTAATCTTCGCATTTCCTTAAAACTAGAACAACCCACATCCTTAACTGTTTGCGAACAGTAATCTAATCTAAGTCTACCTCCTCTACCCCTCCTAATTCCTGTTTCTGCCTCTAATATGTCCTATCAATCTATCCCGCCTATTTCTTATTTACTTCCATAGAGTCCTCTGTTGTCCTATTATATTTAATTCCTCTTCATTTCTAACCTTCTCTATCCACGATATCCTCATCATTCCAATTGGAACACATTTTTTTAATGTTAGGGACCATTCATAAACTACGTCACTCAGAACTTCACCTTTTTGGACCCCTCCCTACCTCTTCGTCACGCTAAGTCACACTTTCAGGGACTTCCCTAACAAATATTACGTCACAAAAAAACTAAGCCCCCCCCCCATAAATGATTTACTGTGATTAAAAATATATACAAGTGTATACAATATAAAACATTAATTTTTTACGAACCGTATGCTTTTTTAGAGGCTTTTAACTATATGAGAATGATTTTCTATCATAATGAAAAATAAATTTTACAAAATTGTCAAGTTAAAAAAAAAATGAAAATAAAATTGATAAACTGCGAACATCACATTTCCTTAGATTCCCTCATTCTTGTCATATATCTTCACACAATACAATGCCCCTTATTTGGAAACATATTTTATTAACGGTCTCTTAACGATTTTACAGTGAAATGTTAATAAATTTTACACCAACCAATAATTAAAACCTTTTCACTCATAACAGTAAAAAAAAGCATTTACGGAAGTTGAAATTTAAATTGTTTTATTTTGAAAAAAGAGCATTTAATACGTAACCTTATGGAGACTCATATCTTTCATTTTTAGCAATAAATTTTAACAGTAAAAAATTAACGACTTTTGCTTTTTGTGCTATACTAATATTTTATAAAGAAAAAAAAAATGAATTATCTAAGTTTGTCTTCGGTAATAGTACCTACCGTTTTAGATTCTTTAATTAATTTTAAATGTTTTTAACGCGTATACAAATTTGAATTTCCAGTCAAATAAAAATTTTTCATATAATTCATGCTGGTTATTCCCATGGTATGTAAGAATGTAAATTTGAAGTGTTTCTTCCAGATGCAAACTTTACAAAAATAGTCAATTTTTATGGATTTCCTAGAATATGATTAAGTAAAAGATACTTGTAATACTTGTAGTATTTGAAATTTTCAATTTTCTTTACTAGATTTTAATAGTAAATATAAAAAAAAACTTTATCACTGTTTGAAAAAAACGTCTATTTATACGTTAGATGAAGGGTCAATTTATGCATTTGAGGATGGGTGACTTCTCGAGTTTTTATAACTTTCCCTATTATCGATATTATTTTCTTTTAAAATCATCACAAGCTCACATGTACTTATGACAGGAAATTTCAGCATTTAATATTTGTGAAAAAAAAGAGAAATTAAAAAAAAACTTAATAATTTTTTTAATAGTTTTCAAATTTTGTTATA